TCCCGACATGGAAAACTGCTGTAAATGTTCCCATAAGAAAGAAAAAGTGAAAAGTGAAAGTGAAGGCTGACCAAAAGCTATTGTGTCCCTATAACCACCTTGTTTTATTTTCACTGCTGTAGAGGGAATTACTATTACATCTGAAAATGCAGATCTGAAACTGGTATACGTTACTCATCGTAACCGACACAAAGATCCTAATTGCAACTTTCAATCCACTTTGGAACTTGCATAGAAATAAGGTAAGCAGCACTATTTTGGTAACCATTTGTAGCTCTCAAAATACTGCAGCTATCAGAAGTGCACAGATTTCACAGAGAGCCTGCGTTCATAAGCAAAATGTTCAACTGACATTGATGCAAAATAAGGAAATAGCACAGTCTGTGCCTCCCACGACCAGGTCAGACTTACCGGGCAGACAGCTGAAAAATCACCTTTGTACTTGTGCACTAAGTACATTCTGTAAACTATTTAACAACTAAATTTAAATTAAAAAAAAATAATAATTCAACAACAGTATTATTTCAACATGGGATCTTCTTACAAAGTGAGTGTTTCCTAAAAGCCAACCAGTATAAGAATTTTTCTCCTTCTAACACAGACCTACCTTGCAGTGTGTAAACGTGTTCTTTATTACATAAAGAACCGAGGATGGGAGGGTGCGGATACTCTCCAGAGGCACACACTCTTGCAGTGTGCAGACGTATCGTACACAACCGGTCAGAGTTTCCAACAGTTGCACCATCGTCTTAAAGCAAGAATAAACAACAACAATCAATGTTTTTCACTCCTGCAATAATTTCAAAAGCATCTTTTCTTAGCTGAATTGCACCTAGATTTTTATGGCATTTAAAGTTCACTGCTATTTGCATAAATAAGTAGTTTGTTAAAGATGAAGGAAGCTCCATAAAATAGTATCAAGCAATTCCAGACCTTTTCTCCGATACCATTTATTCTTTGAAAGATTCATATTTCTTTTGACTGGTGTTCTCAATTTACAAACATTTTAAAACTCTGAATTAAGTGACTGCATAAATGATACATGAACCCAAGATTGTATTTCTGAACAAAACAGTACAAGGTTAGCAACAAAGGGAGTAGCATTCCAAGTATTTCCCAATTCTTTCAAATCAGAATTGTTAAATAAAGGTGCAGATTCACTCTTTAAATATGGAGAACACATCCCATTTGCGTTAGAGAATTTGAGATATTTTTTTTTACATTCTGATCAGCATCACGCACTAAATGTAATCAAATAATTCACAAAATTTTAATTGAACTTCAACTGCAAAAGAAGTCAAATTACATTTTAGCCAGTTGGTTAGTAGCTGACAAAAACATTCTAAGAACCTCTTAATTGTTTAGGTAAAAATCAAAGAATAATGTAAACATTCCTTTGACAGCTTATTTCATGGGACTTGCCTGTAGAAGAGTCCTTACAGTACTGCATAACTCTGTATTCTGGCTGGTTAATCCTTTGGCCTCGCTGGATAATTCATACATCAAGTTATCAAATAACTGCAGAGTCTGTCAGAACAAAACAAAACTTAAACATTTTATTTATTTATAAATGTACATACGCAAATAGTAACATCATTCTATATCTGCTTGCTTCCTAGGCATGGAGTCCTGGGCTACTGAGATAACTCACAGGAGAAAATAACGCTTCCTAGCATTTGAATCATAAAGCATGATATACCAAGAAGCAAAAACCGTCTTACGGTTTTCCCAAATTATAGACAGAAGCTGTATTAGCTGTTACTTTCTATAAAATGTTAGTAAAACAAACTTCCTAGCTAATTCACTTGAAATATATACCTCATTCTACCAAAGATTTTTTACTTAGTTAAAACCGCACCATTTTAAAAGGATTTTCATTCTGTCTCAGAAGAATTGTTTTTTTGTTGAGAATGTTCAATAACAGTTTGAATACATAAAGAAATAAGTCTATGACCTAAAAACAACAATAGCTTCTGCTTTGGCTGAGGTCCTTGGGTATTTTACGAGTGTTACTGCTGAGACTGGAAAGACAGTGAGTAGCTTCCAGGCACGTGCAGGATACTACATAAACTGGTATGGTACAGTAATCCTTGTTCAGGATATGCCTGTTATGAGCCATTTTTCTTGTAATCTCCAAAATTTGCTACAGGACGTAAAATAAGGTAAATGGAAATCAAGTGGCCATTTTTAAAGGCTTCTTAAAGTATACAAGCTGAGGCCTGAAACCTAAGTCAGTAGGCACTGCTTTACTTCAGTTAAAATGTAGGTGTTGAAGAACTTTAGTACAACTACAGCACAAAATTCTCCATCATTTGATCCAAAAAGGGAACATATGTTAGGCCAGTATGGTCTAAAAGTTTTTTCATTATATTCTTCACAAATATCACAATGTTTATTCACGACATATGAGTGTTGGGTTCTTCAGTTTATTTGTCCTGAGAGGCTACCTCACATAAAAATTCTCCACCCTGGTCATTTTATAGAAAGCCCAATCTTCTCAAAAAGAAATAAAACCCAATTCTGTTACTGAATATAGAAAGTAGAACATCATATGTTTGATCCTCTCCCCACTGTAAAGAATGGTAACAGTCATGGAAACAATCCAACAACACAAAATTGTCGAACTTTTAAAGGGTAACATTTTAATTCCAAGTTTTGTATCCAAAGCAATAATTATATGATGAGACCTCAAAAAAGAATCACTGCATTCTACGCAGGTTTTTAGCACTGGACTGACTGAAAATTCCACATTTAATTCAAGCTGTCATACCTTAGGTAATACTTTTGAGAAAAAAGTTTGTTCCAAATCTGCAAGGCTGATATGGGGCAAAAACATTTCAGTCAGGATCCTCAAAACACCTGCAAAGCAAGACATCTATAAAACCTTACAGAAAAACAACATGTGACTATCAGAAATATATAGCAACCTAACAGATCAAACAAAGAACTGCGTCAAGCAGAAACAGATCAGATATTTGATTTTGAGAGCGGCAACGTAACATTTGCCACATATGCATTATCTGAAAAATCAAGTCATAATAACAGCTCCAACATGCATAAACCCATCAATAACAGTATCACACCTGACTACGTTTAGTTGAAGGCTGAGCACAATTGTTTGCCCATGGAACTAGAATTTTCCATATTCCAAACTGCAAATAGTTGCACATTTAACGTGCTGGTTGGCACTAACACGCAACTTAACAGTGAATGTTAGCAAGACTCCTAAACAGTTACAAATCAGCCTCATTTTCTTATCACTATGATATTACCAGAGTTTTGCCACCTGTAAGATAACGGCCAAAACCACAATAAAATACAAGATGAAAAGCACCCTTCTTTCAAGTATCTAAAAATCAGAAGTAGTGGGAAGGAAAAAGGAGCCTTACATGCATAGCTTCTTTATGGGCTTTTATAAAGCTTATTCAACATGCAATTAGTGTAACATGCAAGGTCCAGCAGGACTGCTGAAGACCATGAAAGTCATTAGTTGCAGCAGAAGTATTTTTAGGTAGTGCAGAATGCAATTGCAATACAACGATCCTTAGGAAGAACAGGCACTTCTTGGTCACTACTTACGAATATGCTCAGTCCAGTCTTCAGACTCTTGATACATAGAGTAAAAACGTTAAAGAAACTCAAACTCGTTCTGCCATAAAGGTTATCTTTAAAGCACCTGCAGAAGTCACAGTGACTGTTCTCATGCTGTCCCACGTACGCTCCATCCGTTGCATGACATTGGCAGGGATGCTCCATAACCAATGCAGGCAGATATACCTCAGTACCCGCACAACCAGCACGAGCATTTCTACAGCGCATTGGAGAATAAGCCTTGGAGCTTTTTGGGGGGCAGGGGGGGAATTACCTGCAGTGCTAAACGAACCACACGCTATTTTCTGCCGTGAATCTTTTATTTCAGTGAAGGGCTGTACTCATTCCCAGTGAAATACCCGGCACCCAGCTTTTCTGTCCTGTCAGCCCCTTACAAAGGTTGCACCACTCTCCCTCCCACAGATTTATTTGCTTGAACTGTGCAAGGCTGAAGGAGGAACCCCTCCGCACGCACCCCCGCCATTTCGGGGTGGCCCCCCACAGCCACCCAGCAGCCGAACCGCCCTCCCGGGAAGGATATAAGGAGCCGGGGCAGGACGGCGGGCAGCTCCCGGGGGCCAG